CAATGCCACTTCAACTCTCATGTGCTTGGTGAGGCCATAGCACCCTGGCAAGTGCAATAGCACCCTGGTTGTTACAGTAGTGTCGGGTGGGTCCTCACTGCTCCTCCCCCAATTCAGCCACGCCGCTGCCACACAATCTCTCATACGGCACGGAAGAGAGCCATGTATTTAAACTCCACCGAGCTCAAAGCTTGGTCCACCTGCTTCTTGCTTTCCCAAGCAGTTGGGTCTCCACCAACACAGCATATGAAGCCTCCACAATTGTCATGTCTTTTGGTTCCGATGCATAAGAGGCATCGGATATTATAGGAACAGTAGGCTTCAATGTGCCTAAAACGAAAGATAGAGTGTACAGTCGGATTTTTGCACGGCGGCTTAAACGTTCATAGCTTTCAGGTCACAGCTTCAAATAACCTGATTCAACTTGAATCTTGAGCGTCTTAACGTTGCCTACAAAAGGCAATTTAGATCGTATGATTTCACCAAGTATTGACAACACAGCGTTGGTTTGAACGAACGGACTATGGCAGCCACTATAGTCTTAGTAACAAGATAGGAAGAGTTACGAGTTGGGAATGACTCCCAGCTCCTCCAAACCCCAAGAGCCAAGTACAGTGATGTGGAAACAATGCCACACTGTCCCCAACCACGAAGGGTCTCGAAACTACCCTTCACTAGGGCCTACACCAAGTGAAATGTTACACTACACAAAGTAATGTAACTATCTTCAATATCTTGAGGTGTACCCTTTTCGTGGGCTTCGCGATTACTTGAATCTTGACACCAAGGCTCTGGTTCTTCACCACAAACTCATCCTTGGGTTCTTGATGGATCTGCTGCACACACCTGCGACACGCCAAAGGTTCCACACACACGACAAAATAGAAGCGGAGCACGAGACACACGACATAATAGAAACCGCGCACGGGACACAAACGGTTGCGTGGACACGCGAACTAGCGATAACTCGCTATTGACTCGACACAAACACTCGACATCATGTCTCAACATTCACACAATATTATAAGCATGAAATATATATTTATCCCATGCCCTCATACCATTCCATGCACACACGCATGCACGCACACGGACAACAAGCCGAGTGCAAACCGTAGGTTGCACCAACATCGGAGAAGGCAGTCAGGAACAAACGCCCGGGCTCAACTCCATCCACGCCCTTTTGGCGCCTTTGTGCTGCCGCCGAGTATTGTAGCCCAACGGTCGGTGTTTGGCCAAGATACTTGGCTACCCTCATTCCAGCTGCTACCTGCTCCTCATTACGGAATTAAACAACCCTAGCCAGCTGCCCGGTAGCAAAGGCAACATCCGGTCGGGTGTTAACCGCCACATAAATGAGGTTGCCCACCAATGAGTGAAACCGGCGCCTCTCCTCTTCGCCAACGCTCTCCTCCTCTAGTCCCTTCACACACTTGAACCCAGAAGGGAATAGAGTAGCTACGTGGCTTCAACCCTGCCTAAAGTGGCAGCCAAGGCCTCCAGGTACTTTCGTTGGTGCACTCACATGCACCGCTTCTCCATATCGCGTTCGATATGAAGCTCGAGATAGAAGTTAACGTCACCAAGGGCTTTGCACTTGAACTTGTCCTGAAGCTTCAGCATCACCTCCTTCACAAGATCAGAGGAGGGTGAGAATATGAGGATGTCATCCACGTACACCACCATGAAGCTCCTCTGCTCCCCCTCGCAAAGCATGAACAATTAGTGATCGGCGATTGAGGGAGTGAAGCCGATCTCCTCCAACACTTCGCGCAGCTTCAAGTACCACTGCCTAGGGGCTTGCTTCAGCCCATTGAGGGCCTTATTCAGCTTCAAAACTCTGCCACTACCATCATCAAACCCCTCTGGCTACGCCATGAAAATCTCTTCTTCAAGAATGTCGTTGAGGAACGTGGTTGTCACGTTCATCTGCTTCACCACCCATCCTTTCATGGCAGCCTCTACGAGTTGGGTTCGCAGCGTCGTCGGCTTCTCCACAGGAGCGAACAACTCATTGTAGTCCACCTTCTCCTTCTGCTGGTGCCCCTTGGCTACAAGCCTAGACTTGTAGCGCTCAATCTTGCCGTCGGCGTCGGACTTGATCTTGAAGAGCCACTTGGACGTAATCGCCTTGGACGCCCCTCCAGTAGCTCCACCAGTTCCCACGTGTCATACTCCTCAATGCTCTTCAGCTCGCTCTCCATTGTATTATTCCACTCCTCAGCATCACTACTCTCTAAGGCCTCCTTGAGAGTTACTGGCTCCCCCGGAGAGAAGAACACGAAGGCACACTCCTCGTGGTCACTTTCCTCGTCATCTCCAACCATCATTGCCGCTCTGGCCAAGGCTGTCTTGCCCGACTTTCTCGGCGTATCATATGTCAACCTATTAGGGGCTTGGACTATCCTCTTACCCCTTCCTTCCTCCTCAACTGCAGGGACTTGAAGGCCTTGGCGTTGGTGCGGGGTGACTCGGATTCGTAGAGCACTTGTAGTGCGAGAAGGAAGTGTCGGTGCATGCTCCCTCACTTGCTGCACCTCCTCCCCCTCTTCCTCTGCGTTCTTGGCCTCCTCTCCCCCATTAATAAGAGGGGATTGCATTGTGATGGTGCTACCGCTGCTCAGCTCCAAAGGCAGCTCCACATGCTCCAAACCATAACTCTTCACCTCCCCAAACCGCACGCGTATCTTTGCCTCATTCTCTGCCTTCCAATCCTTGTAAAACAGGTTCTCCATGAACTTGCAGTCCTTGCTCACCAAGAATTTCTTAGTGAATGGGTCCCAAAGAAGCCATCCCTTGCTGTTTTGAGCCATGCCCAAGTGTATAGCCCATATCGCCTGAGCACCACGCTTGTTGTGTCGAAGATGCTTAGGTACGAGCGCCATGCACATGCACTCGAACACTCGAAGCATATCCACATTTGGCATCCTTCCAATCCACTCTACATAGGGCACCCATTTGTCTGCTCCCACATGATTCAAGGCTCTATTCTTAGCCACACACGCACTCCGCACCGTATCAGGCCAGAAGTAGTCGGGTAGCGCGGCTTCAATGAGCAGCCCGCGTGCCGTCTCCGTGATTGTGCGATTCGCTCGCTTGGCGATGCCGTTCATTATAGGGGTGTATGGCATGCTAAGAGAGTGCCTTATACCATTCTTCTTTAGCAACATTGTGAATTTCTTGCTTAGGAACTCTCCCCCTCGATCGGTGCGGATTGACTTCACAAGACGGTCTTGTTGCCACTCCATCATCAGCAACCAGTCGGTCTTCACCATTTCAGCCACGTCGCTCTTCTTGGACAGCACGTGCACCCAATTCATGTGGGTGTAGACGTCTACTATGGTGAGAAAATACTTGGCTCCAGCAGCTCCAAGCTTTAAGGGGCCCACCACGTCCATCACCACATCATCACGTGGTGCCTTAGCAGTTGCCTTCGAACAAGAGAACGGGAAACGGATGAACTTGGCTTGCATGCATGTCGGGTAGCCTGTCAGAATGTTATTTGTCTAGCTTGCAGTGGAGTGCTCAATAGTGAGTACAACCCCTTAGGGTTTGCCATTTTGTGTGTCCTGCTGCTTCCTAGTCCCCCATTCTTCCTTCCAATCTCCTTCGTAAACCCTAACTCCTAGTTCTAGAGCAAGCCCACCTACCTCCTAGTGTGGGCCTAGGCTACTAAGCCTAGGCCCCACACCTACTATTCTAACATGGTATCTAGAGCCGGCATGATCCTGCCGCCTAGTTCATCGGGCCCACCACCTACTTCCGCTGCCGTACTATCCGCCGCGCGCCCCGTGGTGCGCGGCATTGCATTTTCATCCCGCCACGCGCTTCGAACGCGTGGCGGCTTTTTCTGCCCGCCGCGCGCTCGGGGCGCGCGGCGGTTTTCCCGTCCGTTGGAGCGCCCTCGAGGGGGCCTGCGCGCTGCCCTCCCCGCTGCTCGTCACGGCGCCCCCTGCGGGACCCGCGCGGCGTCGCCCTGGTCGTCGCGACGTCCGTGCGGGACCCGCGGGGCGTCGCCCCTGCTAGTCGCGACGCCCCCTGCGGGACCCGCGCGGCGTCGCCCTGCTCGTCGCGACGTCCGTGCGGGACCCGCGGGGCGTCGCCCCTGCTCGTCGCGACGTCCGTGCGGGGCCCGCGGGGCGTCGCCCCTGCTCGTCGCGACGCCCCCTGTGGGACCCGCGGGGCGTCGCCCCTGCTCGTCGCGACGCCCCCTGTGGGACCCGCGGGGCGTCGCCCCTGCTCGTCGCGACGCCCCCTGCGGGACCCGCGGGGCGCCGTCAGATCCTGCAGCAGCAGCCGCCGCCGCCCTGCAGCAGCAGACGCCGCCAGGCCTGCAGCAGCAGCCGCCACCAGAGCCTGCAGCAGCAGCCGCCGCTAGAGCCTGCAGCAGCAGCCGCCGCCAGAGTCTGCAGCAGCAGCCGCCGCCAGAGCCTGCAGCAGCAGCCGCCGCCGAGCCTGCAGCAGCAGCCGCCGCCAGGCCTGCAGCAGCTGCCGCCACCGAGCCTGCAGCAGCAGCCGCCGCTCTACCAGCAGCAGCAGCCGCTGCCGCTCTGCCGCAGCAGCCACCGCCGCCCAGCAGCAGCAGTTGCCGCCAAAGCCTGCAACAGCAGCCGCCGCCAGAGCTTGCAGCAGCAGACGCCCCTGGAGTTGCCCGCCACTGCAGCAGCCGCCCCTGGTGCAGCCGCCGCTGGTACAGCCGCCCCTGGTTCCTGGAGCAGCCGATCCTGCAGCAGCCGCCCCTGGTCCCTGGAGCGGCCGCCCGTGCAGGAGCCGCCCCTGGCCCCTGGAGCAGCAGCCCTTGCAGCAGCCGCCCTTGGACCTCAGAAGCCGCCCCTGGACCCGGTACGCTCTGTGCTGCTCGTGCCTGTGCTGCCCTGTGCTGCCTGTGCCTGTTGCTGCGTGTGCCTGTGCTGCCCGTGCCTGTACTGCCCGTGCCTGTGCTGCCCGTGCCTGTTGCTGCCGTGCCTGTGCTGCCCTGTGCTGCCTGTGCCTGTTGCTGCATGTGCCTGTTGCTGCTTGTGCCTGTGCTGCCCGTGCCTGTGCTGCCCTGTGCTGCCTGTGCCTGTTGCTGCCTGTGCCTGTGCTGCCCGTGCCTGTGCTGCCCGTGCCTGTGCTGCCCGTGCCTGTGCTGCCCGTGCCTGTTGCTGCCTGTGCCTGTGCTGCCCGTGCCTGTGCTGCCCGTGCCTGTGCTGCCCGTGCCTGTGCTGCCCGTGCCTGTGCTGCCTGTGCCTGTTGCTGCCTGTGCCTGTGCTGCCCGTGCTTGTGCTGCCCGTGCCTGTGCTGCCCGTGCCTGTGCTGCCCGTGCCTTTGCTGCCTGTACCTGTTGCTGCCTGTGCCTGGTGCTGCCCGTGCCTGTGCTGCCCGTGCCTGTGCTGCCCGTGCCTGTGCTGCCCGTGCCTGTGCTGCCTGTGCCTGTTGCTGCCCGTGCCTGTGCTGCCCTGTGCTGCCTGTGCCTGTTGCTGCCTGTGCCTGTGCTGCCCGTGCCTGTGCTGCCCGTGCCTGTGCTGCCCGTGCTTGTGCTGCCTGTGCCTGTTGCTGCCCGTGCCTGTGCTGCCCTGTTGCTGCCCGTGCTTGTGCTGCCTGTGCCTGTTGCTGCCCGTGCCTGTGTTGCCCCGTGCTGCATGTGCCTGGTGCTGCTCGTGCCTTGCGCTCGCGCCCTCGTGCGCTCTGCTACTGTCTGCGCCCTCGTGCGCACTGTTTCTGCTCTCCCCCCCCCCGTTTGCGGGTATGGGGGTGGCTGGTGTGCATTCCTCCCTTTGCTCCTCCTCCTCCTTCGTCTCCCACTGCTGCAGCTGTCGCTGAGGGGGGTGGTTGTGTGGGAGACTGGGGTTTAGGGTTTAAGGGGGGTGCGTGGGAGTGGAGCAAGCGGTGTAGCAGCGGGTGTGTGTCAGGGGGGTGGGACTGTTTGGGGAAGCTGCATGGAAGTTGCCGTACTGTAGTCCGGGGCGCTGTCCCGGTAGCCCAGTGAGCTAGACTTCTACGCCAGCCGCCCGTGGGTCCGTTGCCCGTCTGCCGCTATTTTAGCCGCGGGGCCTGTTACTCCTGTAGTCCGGGCGCTTAGTCCGGTAGCCGCTGTGCCAGTCTGCCTCCTGTTGCCCGTGTGTCTACAGCTTCAGCCGTCTCCTCCTATCTCCTCTCCCCTCACTCTCTCTCCTCCTCCTCACTTGCCCGTTGTGACTACCACTAGCTGTGCTCATAATTCTTTACTTTAAACTATTGCTTCTTTAACTTGTGCTCAGAATGTGTGGTGACATTGTGATCCACCCTGAGCTTGTACTGCTTTGCCTGCTCTGCTGATTACACCCCACTTTGTCTATGGGGGTGTGTCAGAATGTTATTTGTCTAGATTGCAGTGGGGTGCTCAATAGTGAGTACAACCCCTTAGGGTTTGCCATTTTGTGTGTCCTGCTGCTTCCTAGTCCCCCATTCTTCCTTCCAATTCTCCTTCGTAAACCCTAACTCCTAGTTCTAGAGCAAGCCCACCTACCTCCTAGTGTGGGCCTAGGCTACTAAGCCTAGGCCCCACACCTACTATTCTAAAGTACAGAGCAAAGTCAAGAGACAAGCAAGTAAAGCAGAGTGGGTACAAACCCAAGAGGAGTGTAGAAGTGCTGATGATCACTAGACTCCAAGGCCTTGGTGAATATATTAGCAGTGTTGGACTATGAGGCCACATAAGCAAGACAAAGCTGACCACGCTGCTGGAGCTCTTGTGCGGGAAAGTAACAAAGAGCAGTGTGCTTCGTTCTGTGCTCCAACCTCTGCTCCCGACACAAGGCAATCATGGCCTTGCTATCGACGTACAGAATCGGAGGAGAATGAGGCCGCTCACCCAAGTCAGACAGCAAGTAGGTCAGCCAGCGTAACTCCTATGCAGCCATAGCCCCAACGTAGATCTTGGCCTCACAGCTGGAACTAAGCACAGAAGACGAGCGGGTGGACCTCCAAGAGATAGAACGAACACCAAGCTTGAAGGTGCAACCCTGTGATGACCGCTGAGTCTCCTGGTTATTGGCCCAAAGAGCGTCTGAGTGCCCAGTGAGTACAACTCGACCCTGTCCTCCAAGCACAAGCCCCATGTGTGATGTACTGCACAAGTAATGTAGTACCCTCTTCGCAGCCCGGGTAGTGCTCAGGGTGGTGTCTCTGGGGCGCAATGTAGCGTGCCAGGATGCTGAGAGGGTATGCAAGGCCAGGTCGACTGCACATTATCATGTACATGAGGCAGCCCACAAGCACTGGATACTGACTGCTCGGCTCTACGGACTTGTCTGAAGGTGGAGCTAAGAGCGAGTGACCCGTAGGCACAGGAGTGGGATGTGGCAAGGCAAACTGAAAGCGGAAGTGGTGAAGGGGATGCGTCTGACTGTCAACTCGTCAAAGGTTGGGCCGATCTCTGCTTGGTCATCAACCGACCCTGCCGATCCTTAGGCAGGTGGGTCCCGGAACATATCCTCCTAGATGCGGAAGTAACAATAGTGACCACTGATATGGGGAGGCCCGTGTCTCACCATGCAAGTCAACACCTTGCGTCTTCCTTTCGTCATTGTTGGCAAGGATACGCGTGGGAGCCTGTGAAGTGCTAGCGATGGCAGGTGGCAACACGGTCTAGTGGTCCGGCAGCTTGCTGGTAAGGCATCGCTCCTGATTGCCTTTGCGCGTAGTTGCCGTTGTTGTTTTTTTATCCTTTGCACTTCCAGAAATGATTGATAGTATATCCCATCTTCGTGTAGTATTAGCATAACAATTTCCTCTTGTCCGATGTTGCTTCTGCGCCTACTACATAAAGGCAACCTTCTTCTTTCTGTTGCCTCTTTTGTTGTACAGGTCGATCTCCTGTTGTTCGACAAGGAGGGTGGCGGAGAGCATGGTTTTGTTGACCTTGCCTTGAGCGTAAAGGAGTGAGTTGCACTGACGCCACTCGAGAGTTAGTCAAGCAAGGATGATGGTAACATTATGGTAAGCTTATGGTCACTGATCCCTCAGGTCTGTGTAGCGGTTGATGTATGCCCATGCTTTCTCTCTAGGGAGCATCTTGACGTTGTTCAGCTGATTCAGTAGACGAATGAGCGTCACTAAGTTGGTTGCCATGTATACTGTGTGCATATACTACTTCTGTGCAGGTGCCCACTGATTTCTGAAGGAGCGTATACCAAGTTGTTCCACTGGTGACAAATCGTGGATCAAGACAGTATAGACGAGTAGCGACTCATTGTAGTACTCCGTCTTCTCTTGAGGTGAGCCGTCGTTGGAAAACGGCAATGTCCCGTCGTGGAATTTGAGTGGAACTCGAATGCAAAGCTCTAGGTGTATAAGTCATTCTTGTCGAAGAGCGTGATCGTCTGGCGTTTTCAGGTGGATAAGAACTTACTTTCGATTCATGTCACTACTTCGTAATGTGCTTGCTGTGCTTGAGCAGGCGCTTGTCATTGGCGATTGTCAAAGTGAACGATGGGCTTAGAGTCGGGTCCTTGACAGGCTCTCAAATTCATTTCAGGGTACCCTGACCCATCAGTGTTGCCCCTTGGAATAGAAATATATATATAAATTCACTTTTCAGGGCTAGCTAAAATATTTATCCTGATTTTTTCAGTCCTGTGCTGAGATGTTTAGTGAATGCCTGACAATCAGTCTCCAATTGGATTAGCTCAGTTGATCAAGTTCCCGCCCGTCACTTGGGAGGTCACAGGCTCAAACGGTCATGTCGTGGACCCATGCCGCACGTGCGAATCCACGCGCAAGTCTGGTTAGTTTTGTACCAAATCCTCATCGAAGCTACGTGTCTTTGCGTGATTTTTTAACGAGATACATGTCAGACTATCATAGCTTATGCATTTTGTGTAGGCTATAGTGGGGTAGCCCATAAAGGGTACAACCTAATTAGGGTTAGTACTTGTACCCAACTCTTTCATAGTTGATTCATTCCTCGTTTCTTCTCATGGTATCAGAGCAGGTTCTCTAGCAGGAACGATTCATAGAGCCCACCACTACTAATTTTTTTTCCTGCCCAGAGCGCGCTCCGCTCAGGCCCGAGTCGCGCTCCGTGTGCTCTCCCTACCGTCGCGCCCTCGCTAGGCCCCGCACGGCCCCGTCGCGTCGCCCTTACCAGCCCTCTTACGGCCCGTCGCGCCTCCCTTACGGCCCGTCGCGCCGCCCTTACGGCCCGTCACGCAGCCCTTTTGGCCCGTCGCACCGCCCTTCTGCGGCCCCCGTCGCCCCCGCCTCCTTCGCGGCCCCGTCGTACCGCCCTCAGCGGCCCGTCGCCGCCCTCCACCTACGGCCTTGTCGCCACCGCTTCAACGGCATTGCCGCCTCCCCTTACGGCCCGTTGCCGCCTCTCACAGCGGCCTCGTCGCCGCCTCTTACAGCGGCCCCCACCGACCCCGCGTGCCGCCCTTGCGGCCCTTCGAGCCCCCCCGTCGGCCCACCGTGAGCCGCCCTAGCGGCATCGACGCCGCCCTTCCCGGCCCTGACGTCGCCTTCCCGGCCCCGCCGCCGCTCCACCTGGCCTCGCCGCCACTCCACCTGGCCCCTCGAGCCGCCTTCTACGGCCTCCTCACGGCCCCACCGCCGTCCATGAGTCAGGAGCCACCGCCGCCGAGCCGCCCAGCAGCAGAGCCGCCCGAGCAGCCCAACATCCGAGCAGCCGAGCGCCGAGCCGCCCAGCAACCGAGCAGCCGAGCCGTCGAGCCGCCCAGCAGTAGAGCCGCCGAGCCGCCCACCAGCCAAGCAGCCGAGCCGCCGAGCCGCATAGCAGCCGAGCCGCCGAGCCGCCCTGCAGCCGAGCCGCCTGCACCGCCGAGTCGCCCGAGCCGCCCAGTCCGGTAAGAGCAGCGCCTCTACTCCTGCACTGCCCTTACCCTACTGTTTGTGCTGCTAGTCCACTGCTGTCATGGCTACCCCTAGTGTCCTTGCTTTTGATGCTGAGGGTAGGGCCATTGACTTTGACGTCTGGATAGATGACCTGCAGCTTTTCTTACAGTGCGATAGGGCAGACGGCCTCTCCCTCTTTGACCTCACTTCTGGTGCCTCTCCTGCCCCCGCTGCTGATGCTGACGCCACTGTTCGCTCACAGTGGGCCACACGCGATGCTGCTGCACGTCTTGCTGTGCGTCGCCACCTGCCTACCTCTGAGCGTGCGCACTTTAGTCAGTACAAGAGTGCTCAGACCTTGTACGACGCTATAGTTGCACGCTACTCCTCCCCTGCCACTGCTGCATTGAGCCGCCTCATGCTACCGTACCTCTTCCCTGATCTTGCTGCCTTTCCCACAGTCGCTGACCTCATTACGCACCTCCGCACTAGTGACACTCGCTACCGCGCTGCGCTTCTTGCTGAGTTCTGCGCCAAGAACCCCCCCCCATGTACATCACCCTCTACTGCATAGTCACCCGGCTCCCTGACTCCCTTCGCGTAGTCAGGGACCACTTCCTCTTAGTTTGCCCCACCACTCTCACCGTTGACCTCCTCGAGAAGGCCCTCCTAGCAGCAGAGAAGAGCATAGTCGCTGTAGGAGCCTCTCGTGGTGACCCTCGCACCCCCATCTTTGAGGGGTGTTCCCCCTCCCCTCTTTTGCCCGCTGTTGCCTCTGCTGCTGCGGTCGGCCTCGTTGGTCTGGAGTTGGTCGGTGCGGCGTCTACCCCTAGCGGGAAGCGTCGCCCTGGCAAGGGCAAGGGGGGCAGGGGCGCTGGAGGAGCTAGCAGGGGCTGTGGAGGCGGTCGTGGAGGTAGTGGAGGGGGTGGGGATGGTGGTGGGAATGGTGGCGGGGGTGGAGGTGTCGGTGGCGGCAGTGGAGGCAGAGG